AGGATGGCACCATGAGACTTTGTATTGATTACAGAGAATTAAACAAGGTGACAATACGCAATAAATATCCTTTGCCTAGAATTGATGATCTTTTTGATCAATTGAAGGGAGCTCAAGTGTTCTCCAAAATTGACTTAAGATCTGGATACCACCAACTAAAGATCAAGGAGGGTGATATTCCTAAATCAGCCTTTCGGACTCGTTATGGTCATTATGAATTTCTTGTAATGCCATTTGGGTTGACTAATGCCCCTGCAGCCTTTATGGACCTAATGAATAGAGTATTCAAAGCTTATCTGGACAAATTTGTGGTGGTGTTCATCGATGACATTCTAGTGTACTCAAGAAGTAATGCGGAGCATGAGGAACATTTGAGATTGGTGCTTCAAATTTTGAGGGAGAAGAAGCTTTATGCAAAGCTTAAGAAATGTGAGTTCTGGCTAGATAGAGTAGCATTCCTAGGACATGTTGTGTCTAAGGATGGAATTTCTGTGGACCCTGATAAAGTGAAGGCAATAGTGGAATGGAGCCAACCAACTAATGTGACTGAAGTTCGCAGTTTCTTGGGTTTGGCAGGGTACTATAGAAGGTTTGTGGAAGGATTTTCCCACATAGCTATGCCATTAACCAAATTAACCCAAAAGGAAGTGAAGTTTGAATGGAATGATGAATGTGAAAGAAGCTTCCAGGAGTTGAAGAATCAATTAGTCTCAGCACCTATTTTGACTATTCCTGATGATAGTGGAGGTTTTACTATTTATAGTGATGCCTCCAAGAAGGGATTGGGTAGTGTTTTGATGCAACATGATAAGGTGGTGGCTTATGCTTCAAGACAGTTGAAACCATATGAGAAGAATTACCCAACTCATGATTTAGAGCTTGCAGCAGTTGTTTTTGCCCTTAAGATCTGGAGGCATTACTTGTATGGTGAAAAATGTGAGATCTTCACTGATCATAAAAGTCTAAAATATATTTTCACACAAAAAGAGCTAAATATGAGGCAGAGGAGATGGTTGGAGTTACTGAAGGATTATGACCTGACTATTAGCTACCACCAAGGTAAGGCTAATGTTGTAGCAGATGCTTTAAGTAGGAAGGATCATGGTAACTTAGCCACTATACTCACTTCTCAAAGGTGTATTATGGAAGATTTGATGAGAATGGATGTCAGATTGCGAGTGTATAGTCCAGATACATTCGTAGCTACTTTACAGGTCCAACCTACCTTGATAGAGAAAATCAAGACTACACAGTTAGATGATCCATTTTTGCAAAAAATGAGGCATAAGGTGGAGTTAGGTGACTCAAAGTTGAAGCCATTTAGGATTCATGAGGATGGTTCCTTGTGGCATGGAGTTCGAATTTGTGTTCCCAATGATTTGAGTTGAAAAGAGTAATTTTGAAGGAAGCTCACAATACTGGGTATACTGTACATCCAGGTAGTACTAAAATGTATAGAGATCTGCGGGAGACTTTTTGGTGGAACAATATGAAGAGAGAAGTTCCTGATTATGTAGCTCAATGTTTGACATGTCAACAAGTCAAGGCTGAGCATCAGAGGCCAGCAGGCAAGTTACAGCCACTTCCTATTCCTGAATGGAAATGGGAGCATATCACCATGGATTTTGTCACTGGGTTGCCTGTAACTCAGAGTGGCAATGATTCTATTTGGGTGATTGTGGATAGGCTAACTAAGTCTGCTCATTTCCTTCCTTACAAAACAGGTATGCAGTTGGAAGGATTTGCAAAGTTATATTTGAAAGAGATAGTGAGGTTGCATGGTGTACCGGTGTCTATAGTGTCAGATAGAGACTCCCGGTTTGTTTCTCATTTTTGGGGAA